TGCAGTCTTTCCACATCCAGTCATGAATAGTGGTGAATAATTAAACAACTGATTGGAGGAGGAGGCTCCACAAATAAAAACCATCCTTAATTTAGCATGCAAGTAGTTCTGTTTGGTAGCTTCACCAGATAGACAGCTCATTTTCAGGTATGCCTAGTGCTGCTCCTGGCATGTCCTCCTGCACTCTCCATTGAACCAGGGTTGATCCCCTGGCTTCATGGTAATGGTTGAGGGGGCAGGATATGCCAGGCCATGAAGTTACAGATTGTGTAGGAGTACAATTCTGCTGCTATTGATGGGCCACAGAGCCAGCACATCAGTGCAAAAGATTAAGGCTGCAGCACTTGCAACAATCTTCAGCCAGAAGTGCCATGTGAATGATCCATTTCAGCGTCCTCCAGTGGTCTCCAGCAAAACAGATGCCAGTGTTCAGGCAATTCAACTCACTTCATGTAATATCAAGAGATGGTAGGAAGCACTGATTACTGCAAAGGCTATGGGCCCTGCCAACATTCCAGCAATTGTACTGACTTATACTCCATAAATTGCCACTCCCCTAGCTAAGCTGTTCTAGTACAGTTACAACACTAGCATCTACCTGACAATATGGAAAATTGCCCAGGTATGTCCTATACATACAAAAGACCAAATCCAACCCAGCCAATTACCACCCCATCAGTTTACTCTCAATCATCAGTAATGTTATGGAAGGTGTTATCAAAACAATGCTATTAAGCTGCACCTTATTTCCAATAACAATGATAATAATGAAATCATAGGTTTTTCCTGATAATCCAATTTGGAACATTATTGTCCTTCAGGGAAGGAAATTCTGCCATCCTTACCTGGTCTAACTTACATGTGACTCCAAACTCTCAGCAATGTGGTTGACTCTTAACTGCCCTGGGCAATTAGTGATGGACAATGAATACTTGTCCAGCCAATGGTACCCATATCCCACAAATGAATAATTATTAAAAAAAAAACTTGCTCACTGACATCCAACTTGGGTTCTGCCAAAGTCACTCAGAGTCTGCACACAATGGAGTTTAGAAGGATGAGGGGGGAATCACATTGAAACTTACAGAACAGTGAGGGGCCTGGGTAGAGTGGATGTGGAGATGATGCTTCCACAAGTATGAGTGACTAGGACCCGAGCGCACAGCTTCAGAATGAAGGGACAACCGTTTAGAATGAGATGAGGAGGAATTTCTTCAGCCAGAGCGGGGTTAATCTGTGGAACCTATTGCTGCAGAGGGCTGTGGAGGTCAAGTCATTGAGTATATTTAAGGCAGAGCTAAGTCTTGATTGATAAGCAGATGAAGATTACAGGCAGAAGGCAGAAGAATAGGGTCGAGAAACATATCAGCCATGATCAAATGGCAGAGCAGACACGATGGGCTGAATGGCCTAATTCTGCCCCATAGCATCATAGAGTCATACAGCATGGAAACAGATCCTTTGGTCCAATTTTCCATGCCAAGCAAGTTTCCAAACCAAACTAGTCCCACTTGCTTGCATTTAGCCCTCTAAATCTTTCCTATCCATGTACCTGTCCAAATGTCTTTTAAATGTCCTAACTGTACCTGCACCTACCACTTCCTCTGGTAGTTCATTCCGCATACAAACTACCTTTTGTGTGAAAATGTTGCCTCTCGAGTCCCTTTCAATCTTTCTCCTCTCACCTTAAAAATATGCCCTCTAGATTTGAACTCCCTTAACCTAAGGAAAAGACCTTTGTTATTCGCCTAATCTATGCCTCTCATGATTTTATAAACCACTTTAAGGTCACCCCTCAACCTCTAATACTCCAGAAAGAAGTCCCAGCTTATCCAGCTTCTCCTTATAACTCAAACAATCCAGTCCGACTAAGATCCTTGTAAATCTTTTCTGTATCCTCTCCAATTTAATAATATCCTTCCTATAGTAGGACACCAGCACTTTACACAGTACTCTAAAAGTGGCCTCACCAACATCCTGTACAACCGCAACATGACTTCTTAAGTCCTATACTCAATGGCCTGAGCAATGAAGGCAAGTGTGTCAAATGCCTTCTTAATTGCCCTGTCTACCAGTGATGCAAATTTCAAAGAACTATGTCCACGAACCCCTAGGTCTCTCTGTTCGACTACACTTGCCAGGGCCCTACCATTAACTGCGTAAGTCCTGCCCTTGTTCATCACACCAAAATGCAACATTTCGCATTTATCTAAATTAAAATCCATCTGCCACTCCTTGGCCTATTGGCCCAACTGATCAACATCCCTTTGTAATCTTAGATAACCCTCTTCACGGTCTACCATCCCATTAATTTTGCTGTCATCAGCAAACTTACTGACGATACCTCCTATATTCTCATCTGAATCATTTACATAAATGAGAGTGGTGTCAGGGTTATGGAACTTCAGTTTTTTGGACAGATATAGAAGGTGGGGCAGTTCTCTCTTATAAGAAGCTTGAAAATGAGATTTGATTCTGGACATCTCCGACATGACAGGTATGGATAGAGCAGGTAGGGAGAAATTGTTGACAAAGATCAAGAACCAGAGGACACAAATGTAGGACGAATATCAAAAACCAAATAGGATGGATGAGGGAAATCTTTTTTGCATAGCAAGTGATTACAATCTAGAATTAATGCCCAAATGTGGTGGAAGCAGATTCAATTACACCTTTCAAGAGAATAACTGGATTATTATCTGAAGTTTAAAAAAAATTTCTCTGGCAATGGAGAAAATACTGAGTTGTTCTTGTAGGGAAGCGGCACAAACGTAAAGGGATAGATGGCCACCTTCTCTGCTGTAACCATCCTCTGATCTCAGATTTTTGTGTTGTCTCTGGTCAGTCAGAGTTTTTTTTTACAAGAAATACGGTGAGTTATCTGCCAGCAGGGATACTACTTTACCAGCATTGTGGGTAGTGATGGGATCAGATGCACTGTCTTATGATTTCATGGTTTTGGGTCAGAGGCTGGAAATACTGTGGTGAGTAACTCACTTCCCGGGTCCCCAAAGCCGGTACACAAGCTACAAGGCATAAATCAGGAGTGTGATGGAATGTTCCCCAGTGGCCTGGATGGGTGCAGCTCCAACAACACTCTTGACACCGAGCTTGACACCATCCCAGGACAATGCAGCCTGCTCGATTGACAACATATCCACAAACATCTACACTCTCTATCACAATGCTCAGCATCAGCAGTGTGTACAATCTTCAAGATGTACTGCTGAAATTCACCAGAGATCCTTAGACAACACCCTTCAAACCTATGACCGCTTCACCCATAAGGACATGGGCAACAGATACATAGGAACATCACCACCTGCAAGTTTCCCTCCAAGCCACTCACCATCCAGACTTGGAAATATATTATCACTTCTTTACTGTAACTGGGACAAAATCTGGAATTTCCTCCCTAACAGCATTGTGGGTCTACCTCCAGCACATGGACTGTAGTGGTTCAAGAAGGCAGCTCACCACCACCTTCTCAAAGTAAGCTAGGGTTGGAAAATAAATGCTGGCCAGACAGCAATGCCCACATCATACAAGTGAATAAAAAATATTCAATTTATTGAGATCAAGGAAGTTTTAGACCGATTTTCCCTTTACAAACAAGAATTTATTTCCTTGCCCTTTGCTATGTTCCACTGAATGCTGGAATCTTGGCAAAATGCCTTTCTTTTTAAGAGCCTGGGCACTGAGCACATTGGTTGACTTTCAGCAGGAGTCAACTGATAGGAGCAAAGGTTAAGGTTCATGTGACATTTCACACCTACGCATCTCCGCGTACTTGAGGCCAAGTGAAACACTAATACTGAATTCAGTAGAGATTAGCCAAAACAACACACTCCAGTGCTTAAACATGATATCTTCTTGGTTTTTTTCTGGCTCAGATCCAAACAGGATACTGCACTTAACCACAGAAACCCTGGGGAGTTCAATAAATTTGTTACGTTGGACACAAAGTGAACAGAAAGACATGATCCAAATTTTTAAAATAATGGAAATAGTAATGAAATGAAAGGCACTTACATAACCTACGTATCTAACTGGATAACTAGGAACTAAAAAAACTCAAATGCATTGCTGACAAATAAAACTAGAATACCATGAACCATTTGCACTGGTATGATGCCAATGTGAAAATATGCCTCATCAACAATGGGTTTCATCCTAGTTCAATGCTACATTCAGTTTTGGGCAGAAAATCTCTGAAAATAGAGATGGTAAAATGACTGTTACAAGGGCTTAAAGGCTTACAAAATGACACAACAGGTCACATAAACCTGGTTTATATTCACATAAATTTAGAATATTAAGTATTTATCTAATTGAGGTATTTAAAATGATAAATTCCATTAACAATCATTTTTATTGGTGAATGACAACCTGCACAAAGATGTGTTTGTATCTTTTGCAAAGATTTTTATTTTCACCAGTCAACATTGAAACAGGTTGAGCAAAGCACATAAATTTCTATTTTAAAGAACCAGAATCATACTCTGTATCTAGGAACATAGGAACAGAGTAGGCCATTCAATACATTCAAGTCTGCCCTGCTTTCGAAATGTCATCTAAAACAAGGCAAAATACTCTTATTCTACGTTCCTATTTTGTGCCTAATGTGAAAACAAGTCTGATTTCACTATGTCAACACCCTTCAGCTATTGAATTGCCTGTGAGTTGATTCACACATCACTGACTACTGCTGCTGCAAGTTAGTGCTGATTCAGAATTGGGCTCCTCATTCAGGGTATTGGCTGCAAACGTTTACATCTTCTTCATAGACCAGTAATTATGGTAGCAATGAACATTTGCATCTGACTGGCATAATAAAATTACACAAAATTGTAACTCAGCAAGAAACTTTAATTATGTTTTCTGATTAATATTAAATAGAACCATAAAGTGAAAAGGTTTTGCAAAGATCTTGTCTTATGACAAAGCAGTATGTTACAATATATATCATCCTGCAAAACTATGGAAAGTTATTCACTTACCCGACTTGTGGGTTCCAGAAAACGTTTCATCGTCCAACTGAGAGAAGATCCATCACCCTGCTTGGATTTCACACTAGGCGATGGACTCTTTGAAGATAACCCTGTGGGAAAAGGGCATTTAAATGAACTTCACAAATGTTCTCTTGCATTAATGACTGGTTTTATATTAGCAAATTTCTACAGGAAGAATCCTGGCAATATAAAAAAAATCTTGGCAACCTGCAACATGTGCACTGGAATCGTGCTGAAGTGAAAAATGCCTCATTAGCACTGGTTTCCACACTGGTACAATATTATGTTCAGTTTTGGTCTGTGATCCTCTGAAAATACACGATATTGGTCTAATAGTGCATATGGATGAGAATGATATAAGGGCTTAAAGGGTTACTTAATGACCCAATGGGTCATAAAGTTGGTTCACACTCTTTTAAGTTTAGAAGATTGAGCAATCATCTAATTAAGGTATTTTAAAATGATTTTAAAAATTCACTAAGACAGATCAAGAGAAATTATTTCCTCTGGTCCTTCCTCAAAATCCGGAGACAGGATTTACCACACTCCATCCATGATCTGGACCAGAATTTCAGGCTATCCTGTTTATCAATTTGGTTTGATAAATTCTTTTTTCAAACTGGAAGTTTGGTATAGAAATATTGGTAAATTCCATCAGAACCCTTAATCTAGGAAACTGATGCGTTCTATGTTCTTTATCTGAACATGAGGTGTTGATCATCTTCTTCTTAGCAATAAAGGTTGTAATTGGTAAGCTTGCAATCACTATCAACCACTATCAACAGCTGTAAACAACAGGTGGTCTAGTTTTTCCAATTTTGCCAGTTAGTGTGTAAAAGACTTGTTACTACAGACTGGTTTAATGTAGAAAAAAAAGGTAGAGGGAAATAAATAAATTAGATAAAAGGAGCCAGTCAGGACAAGTCAGAAACTGCTGTCCTTACTTGGTCTAGCCTACATCTAACTCCAGACCCATAGCAATGTGATTGATTCTCTACTGTCGCCCAGACAAGAAACTGGAATCTTACATACAACACAGAAACACAGATCACACGTCAAAAAAGATGTTGGACGTGATCTATATGCATTTCAGTAAGGGGTTCGACAAGGTTCCTCATGGTAGACTGGTTAGCAAGGTTAGATCACAGATTAGAGGGAAAACTAGCCATTTGATTATAGAACTGGCTCAAAAATACATGACAGAGGGTGGTAGTGCAGGGGTGCTTTTCAGACTGAAGGCCTGTCACTAGTAGTGTGCCACAAAGATCGGTGCTGGGTCCACTGCTTTTCGTCATTTATATAAATGATTTGGATGTGAACATAGGAGGTCTGGTTAGTAAGTTTGCAGATGACACCAAAATTGGAGATGTAATGGACAGCAAAGAAGATTAGCTCAGAGTACAACAGAATCTTGATAAGATAGGCAGATGGGCCAATAGGCCAAGGCATGGCAGATGGAGATTAATTTAGATAAATGTGAGGTGCTGCATTGTGGAACGGCAAATCAAGGCAGGACTTATACACTTAATGGTAAGGTCCTGGGGAGTGTTGCTGAACAAAGAGACCTTGGAGTGCAGGTTCATAGATCCTTGAAGGTAGAGTCACAGGTGGATAGGATAGTGAAGAAGGCATTTGGTATGCTTGCCTTTATTAGTCAGTGCATTGAGTACAGGAGTTGGGAGGTCATGTTGCAGCTATACAGGACATTGGTTAGGCCATTATTGGAATTCTGCGGACAATTCTGGTCTCCCTGCTATATGAAGGATCTTGTGAAACTTGAAAAGGTTCAGAAAATATTTACAAGGATGTTGCCAAGATTGGAGGGTTTGAGCTATAGGGAGAGGCTGAATAGATTGCCCTGTAGTGTCGGAGACTGAGGGGTGACCTTATTGAGGTTTGTAAAATCATGAGGGGCATGGAGAGGGTGAACAGACAAGGTCTTTTCCCTGGAGAGGGAGAATCCAAAACTAGGGGGTGTAGGTTTAATGTGAGAAGGGAAAAGGGACATAAGAGCCAACGTTTTAAGGCAGAGGGTGGTGCACGTATGGAATGAGCTGCCAGAGGAAGTGGTGGAGGCTGGTACAATTACAACATTTAAAAGGCATCTGGATGGGTATCTGAATAGGAAAGGCTTAAGAGGGATATTGGCCAAAAGCTGGTAAACGGGACTAGATCTTTTAGGATATCTGATCAGCATGGATGAGTTGGGCCGAAGGGTCTGTTTCTGTGCTGTACATGTCTCTGACTCTATGAAGCAGTAAATTTTTCATATAATCTTCAATGCACAATAATCTTGTTTCCATCCAAACGGTTTGGTGAAAATTTCACCTGGGGTATCAGAAAATAGAATTTTTACATCCTCCAAAACACATACTTTACGAGAAGAAAAAAAATTGAAGGAAAGAGGAAATTCAGAAGCTGTTTGTACCTGTGGTGTGTGATAGTTGTCCATCTTTGCTTGTGTTCTCCCGATGTGTCGTACGTGCTATCACCTCATCCATTTCCTGTTCTGAGACCTGTAGGGCAATTGGGAATGGGAGAAATAAAACATTGTTTTAACTAAGGTAACCATTTTGCTGTCTGGTTGTCATAACGATTGCAGATTAAACTTTCAGAGTTCACTGTGGGATTCATATACCATTATAGTGTGAGCTAATCAGTTCATGGGAAAAAATTACATATAGCAATTAGCAAAGATTTTATAAAGTCTTGCTCCCACCTACAGCTTTATGCATTAATAATGTACATCAGGAATTTGGATGGGGAGGTCAGTGGGTTTCACGGAGTTTCCACAACTGAACTCCTAATATGCATGTCCAAGATCACACCATCTACTCACCAATACAACAATACTAAAATACTGCGAACCATTTTGCATTAGCATGAACCAAGTTAAATACCCTTAGATGTTGTGCACACTTTATTTCATTTCATCTCTGAACAAATGGATTCTATCAGCCTCTAAAGTAGGAACTGTTTTCCAGGTGTTGAATTATCTATTCCTGATTTAAGATCATAATAAATAGGAAAAGGAGTAGGCCATTCAGCCCCTCGAGCCTCCTCCACCGTTCAACAGGATCATGGCTGAGATAACATACCTCATACCCACTTTCCCGCATTTTCTCCATAACCTTTTAATCTCCTATTATCAAGAATCAATCTATCTATCTATCTCAGCCTTAGATATACACAAGGACTCTGCCCCCACAGCTCTCCGTGGCAGAGTTCCAAAGACTCTCAACCCTCAGAGAAGAAATTCCTCTTCATATTATTCGTAAAATGGTCCCCCTTTGTTCTGAGACTATACTCTCTGGTCCTAGGCTCTGCCATGAGGGGAAACATCCTCCCAGCATTTACCCTGTCAAGCCCTGAAGAATCCTACATGTTTCAATGAGATCACCTCTCATTCTTCCAAACTCCAGTGAATTGAGTCTCAAACTGTTTAGTCATAAAGCAATCCCTTCATGCAAGGGATTATCCAAATGAACCCCTCTCTGAACCGTCTCCAATGAAGTTATAAAAACTGAAAGAACTGCGGATGCTGTAAATCAGGAACAAAAACAGAAGTTGCTGGAAAATCTCAGCAGGTCTGGCAGCATCTGTGAAGAAAAATCAAAGTTAACATTTCGGGTCCGGAGCCTATTCCTCAGAATTGGGGAAGGGTCACCAGACCAGAAACATTAATTCCAATGAAGTTATATCTCTTCTTACAGGGGACCAAAACTGCTCACATTGCTCCAGATATGACCTCACCAGCACCTTATACAGTAGCAGTAAGACTTCCCTGCTCTTATACGCCAACCTCCTTGAAATAAGGGCCAGCATTCCAATAACTTTCCTAATTACCTGCTGCACCTGTGTACTAACTTTCTGTGTTTCGTGCACAAGTCTCCTTGTGTTGCAGTTTCCTGCACTTTTTCTCCATTTAAATAATATGCCCTTCTTCTCCCTTCCAAAATGAACAACATCATATTTTCCTACATTATACTCAATTTGACAACCCTTTGGCCACTGACTTCTCATCTCTTTCTAAACTATTTATATGCCTCTTGCAACTTGCCTTTTCAACTATTTTTGTGTGGTCTCCAAATTTGCCTACAGTACATTCATTTCCTTCCTCCAAGTCGATATATATTATAAATAGAATCCCACATTGATACCTGTGGAACTCCACTGGTTACAAATCACTAACATGAAAAGGAACCCTATCCCCACTCTCACTGTTTCTTGCCCATTAACCAATTCTCTATGCATGCCAATATACTATCTCCAACACTGTGGGCTCTCATCGTGTGACTTAACCTTTTGTGAGATACCTTGTCAAATGCCTTCTAGAAGGCCAAATACAACACGTCTACTGGTTTGCCTCTATCCACTCTGCTTGAGACTTCCTCAAAAACTAATGAATTAGTCAGAAATGATTTTCTTTCATGAAGCCATGCTGACTCTGCTTAATTAGATTATAATTTTCCAAATTTTCCGCTATTACTTCCTTAATAATTGATTCCAGTGCTTATCAAACAATAGATGTTAGGCTCAAAAATGAAGTTGCTGGAAAAGCTCAGCAGGTCTGGCAGCATCTGTGAGGAGAAAACAGAGTTAATGTTTCGGGTCCGGTGACCCTTCCTCA